AGGAGTTTAGTGTAAAATAACAACAATAGGTAACATCTGTCAAGCATCTGTCAGAAATGGCTAACATTAAACACAGATATGAGCTCCTGTCTAATATCTGAACACAGATGTCAAGGAATATTAGCTGCTATTTTGCAGATGAGGAAACTAAGGCAAAGAGAAGAGAAATCCAAGGTTAAATGTGCAGAAATCCAGGGTCACATGAGTAGCCAGTGGTGAGTGGAACCAGTGCTCAGATTCAGGAATCCAGCCTGTTCCTACTGGGCTGCACCATCTTAGAATGTGGATTTGTAAGAAGCCAGACTATGGGGAAGAGGGGGAGAGGGAGTGGATAAGGATGGCAGGGAGTGCCAGAGGGAGGGCCTCAGGGAGGAAGGGTTAGATTTCAACGCAGAGAGGACTGGGGAGACAGATGCTCCAGGCTGTCCCTGCATCGTTGAGGGCACCAAGCTCTGAATCCCTGGCCTAGGCATGGGGCACCTGGATGCAGGGCTCAGAGATGTGGAGTCCACGCAGGGTTTAATCTGAAAGGTGAGGAGATTGCCAACAATCACTAGTAATAGCCAGGATGAAAATGGATCTGTGGGATCACCAAGCAGAAAGCTTTTGTGGGTGATTGGATGGGCAACCCAGGGGTACAGAGTATGGGGTACTGTGGAATGACTGCTTGTGCTGAGGGGAGGGCAGGCCCACCCTCCACAAGTTCAGTGTCAGATTGGAGGAGTTCATTAGCTAAATGGGGGAGGTATCCAGGGAGGCATCGTACATGGAAACATTGAGGTAACTTGGCTAATGATGAGGATTTCAGGGGCAGCGGCACACTGCAATTTTAAGAAGCCATGACTTTGTCCAAGGAAAGCATAAAAAGAGTCATAAGGAAATACCAGGGGGGAAAACAACAGACTAAGAATGGCCATGAAACGTCAGGAGAACATCCACTCCATACCATCCCATTCACCCATACACCCTAGCCTCATCTACCTAGGCACTTGCCCATCCAAGCATCTATCCATGCATCCCAAACACGCCATACAACCACCCATTTGTTCATGTCATCCATCATCCCAGTGGTCTTCCCATACTGTGTCTCTTCACTGACAGCTGTTTGTCTCATCCATCCATCCATCCATCCATCCATCCATCCATCCATGTATATGCCCATCCATGTATGCTTCCATGCATGCATGCATCTATCCATCCATCCATCCACTTACTCCTCTCAGCTCGGCCATTGCAATCTACACAATCCCCAGCTGCATCTGCTCATCCATCCATCTGTCCATTCATTCATTCCTCTATCCCATTAATAAACCATCTTGTTATTAGTAGGATTATGTTGATTACATATTGAGATCATAATATTATAAATATGTTAGGTTAAATAGACTATATACTCTTTAAACTGTAGCTACTAGAAAATTTACAGTTACATGTGTGGCTCACTTTTATGACTCGCATTAAGTTTCTGTTGAACAGTGATAATTTATACCATCCATCATCCATCTAGCCGTCATCTATCTAGCCATCTAGCCAGCCATCATTCATCCATCTACCCACCTATCCATCTATCATCCATCCATTATTCATCTGAGTATGCCTCCATGCTTCCTTATATCCATCCATCTATCCATCTATTTCTTTTCTCCCTTTCACCCACACCCACTTATCATATATGTCCACCCCACAGATATTTTATTGATATCTACCATGAATCAATGATTTTTCAGGGTCAGAAGGATAAGGCTGGGACTAGCTGAGGAACTTGCCCAAGGTAGGAGAGGTGGAGCTGGGTTCTTGACTGTAAGACCAGTGTTCTTTACTTTGCACATTGCTTGTTATAAGCCTAGCTTTCCTTTAAGATAAAAACAACAACAACAGTAAATCCTTTGTGAGAACATGATGTACTTAGATTGCGAGGTGGATGTTGGAATAGGGGCTCAGGATTGCCTGTCCCCAAGGGAACCACACAGTGTGGGGAGAGGCAGACACTTGAGAAACCTCTGTGAACGCGTCCTGTGGTCGTTGTGAAAGGGTTATCCTTTTGCATGCGATGTTTGCGAAAATGTGAATTCTTTCAGATTCCAAAACTCATTTCCATGACAAAACTCTTGGGAAGGGAAGATGAAGGCCTGGCTTTTGCAGAACAATCTTCCAGCTGTAATGAGGACTGAAGATGGCAGTGGGAAAAGGAATTATAATTAGAATATGAAATGGGGAAAATTAATCTATTCCAGGCAGTGGCTAAGAGGATGTTCTCCTGACGTTTCATGGCCATTCTTAGTCTGTTGTTTTCCCCCCTCCCATTTCTTCTTCACAATTTAAAGCATGCAGAGGCTTTATATATACATACATATATATATATATATATATATATATATATATAAGATTTTTGGCTGACGGACTGATAAATTATGAAAGACGCACAGGATTTGGACCCCGTGAGTCCCTGCTTTATATGTCTCCCATCCACACTTGCTGTGTGTTTGTATTCACACTTATGTGGATGACATTAGGCAATGGCAGATATATGGTGCATTTCCACGTGTCTGGCACACCTTCCTTTCCTGTGTGTCTGCTGTGGGGACTATGTGCCTGACATAGACAATCTTGAGACATGCGTCCTTGTGCTTGTGCTCTTGCGCATTGCTTTGTGCCCCCCCAGGGACGTGAGGCATGGGACCACGTGCTCTCTAGAATGCTGAGTTTAGTGGGTGACACAGGTCTGTGCCAACATGGGCCTTGGGTGCACCTGTGTCCCCCATGCCTTTGCATGCCACACAGGTCGCCTCAGCACACATTGAGCAATGATGGTTTGGTCACACACAGAGACAGAGACAAAGGTCAAATCACAGGGTCACATCAGAGCCCTCGAGGTCCCCTCCCTCCCCACATCCCCACTCCAGAGGCAGAGATGGGCAAATGGCAGGTCTACCTTCTCTCTCGGGCCTCCGTTCACAGATTCTCATCCCAGCATGCTTTGGGGCACTGTGTAAGACACTGAGGGGATCCTAACAAAGGCAGACCCCAGACCAACCAAGTCCTTCTTGGAAGCTAGATGCACATTTACTCCAGCACATGTCAGCTCTTTCTTGCATGTTGGCTGAACAAAAGTGTGAATAAGGAAGCCAACTTTAGGCATGCCCTGATGGCCACATGGGCATCTGCCCATCCTCCCTCAATCCAGGGTCTCCTTTCCAGCACTGTAGTGTAGGACAAGGCTCTCCCAGGGCCCAGTGGTCTCCAAGATGACTGCCAATGGCAACTCTACTCTTCTCTGAGCCTTTAACACACTTGTCAATAATCTGCTTGTGTGCTGAGCTCTGGGCGAATTGTTAGGTCCTTGGAAAGATGTAGAAAAGCCTTGATCTCTGTTAGCAGGGAACTTGCAGCCCAGTAGGAGAGATGGAGCAGGGTAAGGCAATCAAACGGTGCTGAGTCCCAGTCTCTCCATAATGGGAGGGGCCTACTCTTCCCCACCTATTTCCTTGGTTTTTAGCAGGGAAAAGTGCGTTTTCCTTGTTAGTCCACTGTGAGGGTTTAGTATTGTCTTCATAGAAAGCACGTTGCTCAGTGCCAGGATAAACATTCATTAGCCAGGTTTTGGGGGGGGGGGGCAGACGTCTTAAGGAGAGAGAGTGAACTGCTTTGGGAGCGTGGGCAGTGTTTACCAAAATCCTAAGTGCACCTGCCTGCTCAGCAAATTAACTACACGTTACCCACCTACTGTGGAGTCTTAGGCGCAGGCCAAAGAATTGTGTTCCACTAGAAAGCACTTTCCAAGGTGCTGTACTACAGGAAACCTCAGTGCTAATCAGCTCCACTTCTGGCTTTTTTTTTTTTTTTTTGGTAGTCAGTAGAAATAAAGAATCTCGCAGACTTGGCAGTGCAGGCTGGCTTCGAACCACGGATCCTCAGGTCTCGTCTCAGCCTCTCCCGCCTGTGTGCCTCTTGTGCTTTAGGAATTTTCTCCTACCAGCCAAATCTATCCTAGCACACTGTCTACAAATGGCCTTCTGCAGGGCCTGCTTAGCTGGTTGCGCCTTCTCATGTCCCATAAGGGCCATGGACGATACAGAGCCACCCCTGGCTTCATGATGTGACAAACTGTGATGCAATTTGTGCCCCAGAACAATCATGGGTTGGGCTAGACTGGGTCTCCAGCTCCCAAATTTTGTGGGTTATTTCTAAAGCCTATCCTCTCAGAAGTGCAAGCACTTGAACACTTGCCTCGGGCTCTGCTTCTGGGGAGGCTTTCTAAAGTACCTGTCTCGAGGGTACTGAATTGAGTGTAGTTAAAGAGGCTTTGTTGAGTCAGGTGCTGTAAATCATCACCTCCTCTACCGAGGAGATCGATGGTCAGGATCCCCAGCCCACAGATGAGGACCAGACACCTGCTCATACATCGGGGTGAGGAGGGAGCAGGGGCCTGGCACCCCACAGTTCTCCCACTATACCTGCCTCCTGCTGGGGGATTCTTCCTGTGTGTCAATGATTAGTTCCTCTGCAGGGTGTCTACCACAGTCCTCACTATCTGTGGTCTCATGGGGTGGGAAGAACAGGAGAAGAGCAAAGCCACGTAAGGTGGTAAGGCCTGCGCGGCATGTCTAGGGTCATGTGATAGTCCCAAGGCTCTGGAGCGCTCAGCCTTGCCTGGTACATAGGAGTCTAGCTTTGGCTGATGGCCTGGAGGACATTGGCCACAAGGTGCTTGCCTACTTCTGGGGCGAGGAGGCTCCATGCCCGGCCAGGGTGTGAGGGAAGAGCTGTTCCTCCATCTTCATCCTCCACATGCCAGCCTTGCTGACATGAGCCCTGAAGGGGCTCCTTGCAGACTCTCCCTAGAAGGGAGCCCTGCTGGAAGGGGGCCTCAGGCATCCTAGGCTACAGGTTTTTCTCTCATTCTTTCCGGCCAGCACAGTCCCCTGACCTCCATTGGTGGCTTGTCCTGCTGCCACCCCAAACATGTTTTAATCAGCACTGCTTCTTTCTGTCTGTTCTAGTTTGATGGTGACAGTGCCTACGTGGGGATGAGTGACGGCAACCCAGAGCTCCTGCCAACCAGCCAGGTGGGTGCCCCTTCCCCTCCCTACCCCAAGTGGGGTCTGAGCTCAGGCTGGCTGGAGCCAAGCTGCTCCTGGGGTGGAGGAAGGAGGACTGGAGAGCCAGGGAGTGCAACCTGCTGCTCTTCCTCTCCCAAATGTTCAAGAAGAGCAGTTGAGTTCTTCAAAGCGATAATCTGGGTTCAGAGAATGTTCTAGAAATCAACTCTCCTAGCCTGGCGCCGGTGGCTCACGCCTGTAATCCTAGCTACTCAGGAGGCTGAGATCTGAGGATCGTGGTTCAAAGCCAGCCCGGGCAGGAAAGTCTGTGAGACTCTTATCTCCAATAAAACACTAGAAAACCAGAAGTGGCGCTGTGGCTCAAGCGGTAGAGCGCTCGCCTGGAACTGAAGAGCACAGGGACAGTGTCCAAGCCCAGAGTTCAAGCCCCATGACCGACCAAAAGTAAAAAAAGAAATCAACTCTCCTGGTACTGGTGGCTTAATGTGAAATATTAAGAACTTGTGGATACTCAAAATGTGATGTCTACAGTCTCCATGCTCAGGGCAAGTTTTGGGGGTTCCCAGGTGCCACCTGCCCCCTTTTTTCACAGTGCCCTGGAGATATGCCAATAGCAGATGCCCACAGACCCATGCATAGGTGTGCAGGTTCTCTGCCTGCCTGGAGTTGGTCCACCTGCCTGGGGAGGCTGGTGGGCCTGGCTTCCTACAGGGTCATTTCAGACAGGGTCGTGAGTAGGGGGTCACTATCCATCTCCAGCCTTCGGGGGGGGGGGCACACATGCAAAATGGAGTGATGTTTTCATAAATAGATGAAAGTTAACATTCCTCCCAGCTGTGGACGTCCATGCTGCTGGCTGTCACGCTGGGGAGGGTCCTCACTGCAGGCTGTTCCTGAGAATGGACAGGTGAGGCTGGTACCACCTGCAGTGTGCTAGCATAGCTCAAGAGCTGGGCGGGACCAGCTGCAATAAAACCCGAGGCTCAGGAAGAGACCTAGCCCTGCACCTCACCTCCAAGTCTGAATTGGGTGGTCCATCTGCCAACAGGCTGGGCATGTGTTTTCCAGGTGGGGAAGAAAACAGATTTCTATTAATTAGTTCAGACAGTTCTGGGCCTTCCTGTGTGGTAGATGCCATAGGGCCACACATAAGTGAGAGGTTGGGCTGTGGCCCTCAACCCTGCCAATAGGAAGCCTCTGTGGTCCCAGGGGGTCTTCACAAGGCATTGCACCCCCTTCCCTTGCCCCAGGGCAAGGTGCTCGTGGTAAGGATGCCCCTTTGTCTAGCCTGTCCTGGTGTGAGCACCGGGCTGCTGCAGCTACCTTCTCTTACATTGTTTTATGTGTGCCAGCTTGTAAGACTGACAGGCAAAATTCCAGGCCCTGGGAGAATCCATTGATGTCACTTACTAGTTAATAATCAACTTAGAAATACAATCATCCACCCGAGCTTACTCCAGAATATCTCCTGTGCCTTTTCACACAATCTTGATTGCTTTTTTGTGTGTGTGCCAGTACTTGGGCTTGAACTCAGGGCTTGGGCATGCTCAAGGCTAACACTTGAGCCACAGCTCCACTTCTGGCTTTTTGGTGCTTAATTGGAGATAGGAGTCTCACAGACTTTTCTGCTAAGGCTGGCTTCAAACTGTGATCTTCAGATCTCAGCCTCCCGAGTAGCTAAGATGACAGGCATGACCTATTTGATGCTTGGCCTGTGCTGCCTTTTGTTAATGTTTGGAGCACTGGTGTTGAGAACCAGTGGAGTCAGGCCTAGCTGGCACTCTGGTAGAAAGTGTTGGCATGTCCTACCACGAGGGGAAAGTGCGGCTCTGGGGTCTGTGTCCGCTTTAGGCGTTCACAGATGAGGAACAGTCCTTGAGAGGAGACTCTGGGACGATAAATGTCCTCTCCCCCCAAACCATGAATAATAACAGTCTCAGCTGTCTGTGCTGCACTTCCCAGACTGTAGAACGTTTCTCGGTGGTTATTTTAGCCATCTTCATGATACCGCCAAGGCCATGTTAGAAGCAGCTGAGGCTCAGGGATGTTGATTGACTCCACAAAAATGACCCAGCCAGGGCCTCACACCAAACCCCGCCCCTGACCTTGCTCTGCCTTTGGAGAGCCCCGTGCAGCCCACTCCCACGTGGCCACTGACTTGATTTACCCTTAATGTCACTTCCTAAATGTGGTCCTCATGACCCCCAAATTCAATCAAACCTCCTCCTCATAATTTTTATGGCACTAGATCATTTTCTGTGACTCCATGGTGGAAGGGGCAAGTCTCTCCACACACCACTTGCACTCTAGTGGGGTGCAATGTCTGGCACAAGGCAGGTAGTCAGGAAACACTGGTGTGGTGGGGGAATGTGACCCCTGCTTTTGTCTGCTTTCTTAACAGTAGAGCAAGGTGGCTTGACTTCCAGTCTTTCTCAATCCCTTGTGCTGTCTATTGTCCACACACGGGCCTCTTTGACTGAAGACTGTATGAAGCAGACATTAGGATTTGCTGAGATTCTAACTACCCAGTAGCATGAACCAACTTTCTTTTCTTGGGGGGAAGGGGAGTCCGGTCGTGGGGCCTGAACTCTGGGCCTGGGCACTGTCCCTCAGCTCTTCAGCTCAAGGCTAGCGCTCTACCACCTGAGCCACAGCGCCACTTCCGGCTTTTTTCTTTTTGCTTATGTGGTGCTGAGGTATTGAACCCAGGGCCTCAGGCATGCAAGGCAAGCGCTCTACCACTGAGCCACCTTCCCTGCCCCTGAACCAACTTTCATGTGAGCAAAATTTGCAGCTCCATCCCAGATATTTCTGTGCACATACCTGTCTGTAGTATTAGAGAATGACCCCAGGCTAACACATGCTATGCAAGGGTTCTACCACTTTAGCCATGCCCCTCTGTCCTTTGGTTTTGATTTTTTTTTTAAAGATAGGGTTCCAGTCATTTTTGCCCTGAGGTGTGATTCTTCAGCCTTTACCTCCTACTTAGCTGGGATTAGAGGTGTGTGTCACCACACTAGCTACCAGGCTCCTTTCAATGTTTTCAGTTTAGCTGCAAACAAGCACTTCATGTAGAGGCTTTAAAACTATTTCATGGCTCCATTCATTTACAGATTGACGGGGTTCAGCTAGGAAGGGGACGGCTCTTCAAATTGATTGAATGATAGCAACAAATTTGAGGGCAGCCCTGGGCGGGATGAGATGGGGTTCGCTGCTGTTCCAGGGCCTCTGGTCTTCTATAAGGCCAGCCTGAAGCTTACACACTAGGTGGAAGACAGCCTTGTACAGCAGTGAGGAAAGATACTGCAAGATCTCAGCAGACCTAGACTTGATGCTGGTATGTCATTACTTCTAGCTCTTTCTACTGGCCAAAGCCAGTCACAGAGCCAAGGAGTCGGACAATAGCTATTAGCTTTTGATGGTGGGGGTTGCAAAGCATTGTGGTCTTTTTAAAGACCACGTGTGGGAGACACAGGGAATGTGGTTCATGCTGGTGTTGTTGGAGAATAATGCAAGACTTCTCCAGGTCCTACCCTGCTGCCCTCTAGGCTTTTCATTTGGTTGTACTGGGGCTTGAATTCAGGGCCTAGGTGTTGTCCCTTAGCTTTTTAAAATTGTTTTGTTCAAAGCTAACTCTCTACTACTTAAGCCACAGCTCCACTTGTAGCATTTTACTGGTTAATTGGAGAGAAGAGCCTCACAGACTTTCCTGTCTGGGCTGGCTTTGAACCTCTGTCCTTAGATCTCAGCCTCCTAGGATTACAGGACTGAGCCACACGTGTGCAGCTGGTCTTTAATGGCAAGAGTTCTATATAATCCTCACTTTTTCCTGGAGTGCCCACACCAACTAACACAGGTGAATAGGTGAACAGCACGTCACTCCCTCCCTGTCCTGCCCCTCCTCCTTCCTCCTCTGTGCTTGGCTTTGAGTGACTTTGGTACCAGAATTTCCTGGACAGACTGAGACATAATTCTCAGACAGGGCTGCAGTCTCAAGAGCTGGGGGATTGGTGGCCATCAGCTCCTGGGTTGCTGAGTGAAGACCCTGTCTAGGAGATTGTTTTGGGAAGTGGACAGGAAGTAGGCTTGGGCTTCAGCAGACCTGGGTTCAAATTCCAGCTCTTCCACTAGGAGACAGTGATTCCTGCCTCCTGGGGTGCTGGGAGAATGGGGTAGGGCTGTGGGCTCCGTGGATGCTGACTAGCCAGGGCACCCATGTCCAACTGCTGCTCTGGAAAATCAGCCTCTGCCCAGTAAGAAGCATGAGCTGGAAGGTGTGTGCGTAGTGACCAGTGCTGTGACTCTCTGTAGAACTCCAGCTGGGGCTGCCTCCTTCTTTAACTCCTGCCCTGCCCTATTCTGTCCTGTCCTCTCCCCCTTCCCTCTCTCCCTGCTCCCACCATCCTTTCTAGGCTGGGTCCCCTCTTAGGAATCTCCCTCCCCAGGCTCTACTTCTAGGGAATCTAAACTGAGAATTATGCAAAACACATTTAAAAACAAACTAGCTATGGCTCATTTTCATGGCTCATTTTCAGTTTTAATTACCATAAATAATGCTTTGGCGACCCGAGATGAGTCCCCAAACACCTCTGTGAGTTTACAGACACTTCCTCCGATGGGAATCCCCTTCAAAAATGTCGATGTATTTCTTAGGGGTTGGGGGAGGAGAAGACCTGCAGCCATCAGCTCCTCATGACACCCTCCTGGTGGTGGGTAGTTTTCCCACTATCTTGGCCCTTAATCTGATTTTTTGTTTTTATTTTTATTTTTTTTACTTTTTATTTTTATGTATTAATTTATTGCCGGTCATAGGCCCTGAACTCTGGGTCTGGGCATTGTCCCTCAGCTCTTCAGCTCAAGGCTGAAGCTCTACCACTTGAGCCACAGCACCACTTCTGGCTTTTTCTGCTTATGTGGTGCTGAGGAATCGAACCCAGGGCCTCATGCGTGCGAGGCAAGCACTCTACCACTGAGCTAACTTCCCAGCCCCTTTATTTTATTTTATT